AATTGTCTAGGGTACACGTCTTCGTTGCCCCGCGTGCCCGTTAATATCGCCACCAATGAGCGGAAGCCGTACGCGACACGAAGCGATATACGCGCGCGCGTGCCAAACAGCTAACCACGACGTAATAATAATAATAATAATAATAAGTATACCATATTATACACGCGCGGTCCCGTTTCGAATACATGTATATATCATGTAGTTTCCATGACAACGGTCAGACAACCGCCCGGCCGGCCAACTACTGCAGCGGGCCCAGCCAGGGACTATCGCAAGCCCGCCCCCTGCCATGACCCTCGCGACGACGCGTAAAGGCCGCACGACACACCCTCTTTTGCTCGCTATATTATATACAGTATACACATACATTACATGATGTGTATTGCGAATTATTGTTGGAATTCAAATAAAATAAAAACACGCCATTATAGTACAATAATGCAGCACGTAAAAAAAAAAATATTTTTACACAAAAACATTTCTGCGAATATAATAATAAAGTTATGAACCTTTGTTACGACTGTTGTTGCTTGCCGCTGTCCGACACTCGTACGGATTCTTTGTCTTTAAAAATATATATATATAATATATCTACATTTTACGGCAAAAGTAANTTATAATGCTCGCAAAAAAAAAAATTCAAGTTGGCGAGGGTTAATTTTAATTTGGCGTTTGCTTCATGCCTTCATCATAGTTTTCTTATCGAAATYTATAGATAATATTATATAGTGTATACATGTAGATTCTTCTAGAGATTTGTAGGTAACAATATAACTACGCACAACGCACGTATTGACGTGTCAAATTTTTGACTCGGCTAGAGGCAGTCTAACAAACACCAAGTTCGTTGAGAGAATGTGATCAATCTCGTCGTTTCTCGCTGCAACCATCCTAAATAATATTTCACGGCTAATTAGCACGCCGAAGTACCAAATTCTCTTAGTGAATGTATATAGTACTTATTGTATGTCTATTTATTTGAATTCCTACATCTTTAGTGTTTGAAATTTTGGATTTTGAGCGACCCCCTTGACCAATCAGTTCTTGACTGTTTACACAAATTTTCCTCATTTGTTGGCGATCCACTGTCACAAGTTTTTTTTAGTTTTTGAAAAGTAAAGCGATTAATGATGTGTCCAAAAAATGTCCATTTCCTCCGCGAGAGTTGGAATTACTGCGTCCTTTTCAAATTTTTGTAGATGAGTTTTTTCATTTATTCCGACCGATTTTTGTTTTCTATTGCAGTTTCATATTGTAATATTGTTTATTGCATTTCTATATAGCTACTATATGCGTGTCCTTAGTCACTCATCGGCTACGTGTGCAGGGGACCTTATTTTATAATTATTTCTACTATACTAAAATTTATATGCATCATTTGTAATATATTGTTCCTACTTATTGAGTATTTATAAAAAAAATTAATTTCACAATTTTATTGCGGATAAATGAAAAAAAAATGAAGCATATTTAAATATAAAACACGAAATATTCAAACATTATATAAGTATAAGTAAAGTCGAGTCGCGATAACTCGAACTTCGGTAACTTGAATTTTTTTTTTATTCCCCAGAAAATTCTTCCCTTATTAATAAGTTAAATACCTCGAATAATACATATCTTGAAGTGATTCCTTATTCCACTTCATCTTCGAGTTATCACGACTCGACTGTATATGTATAATATATCCTATGATAATAGTTGTGCCTATAAGCTACTAATCTAAAAAAAACCTAAAACGATTTTAACGGTTCCTTTTATATTCCGCAAAACCAAAACCAAAATTTAAACAAATTCTTGTCAAACTTTAAAATAAAAAATTTGGAACATTTTTACCACCCCATATGAATGATGATAAATGACAAACGTAGTGATGCGCTTCTCGATATTTTCTACTTATTTTTTTGAAGAAAATTTACGAATAATCATAAATATTTACTAACAAGGAGCCATTAATTATATATAAACCTTAAAAACATATAAGGTAATTTTTACAATTTTTTAATTTCTATGGTGATAAACTGATAAACAAAGCGTTAAGAAAAATCGGTTAGAATATAAAAATATCTATATCCATCCCCTAAACATATTTATGTAAAAGACATAGTGTTATATATATGTATACTAATCTTTATTAGAACCGTTCTATATCCATCTACATAGATAATCATCTAAAATACTCAGATATAGTATCTAATACACTATACATAATTACACGTTTATATAAAATATAATGTCAAACACTCACACACGTAAGCTGCAGGTATCGTATTCATATTTACATACTCACGCATGCAAATATAAAATATCGTGTTTATGAATATTGCACTTTACTCGTGCAATAATAAAGTCAAATAAACACACACATTCAATACACAAATAAGGTTGAGATTATATACAAAAATAGACACAACAATAATTTATGTTACAGCTTATATAGGTTGAAGTACCAAAACATATTGCACACATCATGGGCGGATAGGCCTAGCGGGCAACCGGGCATTTCCCGGTGGGCATTGGCGCAACTATGTCTAAAATATTGGGAGGGCTGAAGCCCTATAAATAAATTTAGTCAATGTGAGCCATGGGGGGCTTCGCCCCCCCCCATATCCCCATTGCCACAGCCACAGAACAATAATTATTAATTGAAATAAAAACAATTATAAAATATTATTACCATACTATATTATTTTAAATCATGTACCTACTTCTATATGTAGTATGTTTTACATAAAATATTTAAATATTATGACATTATCGATAATCTCATAGATTATAATTTGTAATTTACATAAATAGATCTATCCGTCTATTATTATTGTTACCTATAAAATGTTCTAAGACCGTATCATTGTCTATTTTATTAGTCAAATCTCTTTCAATGCTTAATAAAGCTAAATTTGAAAAGCGGTTTTGTGACATTGTTGAACGTAGCCAATTTTTTACCCGCCGCATAGCAGAGAATGCTCTTTCACAAGTAGCACTACTAATAGGATTTGTATAAGCTATGTTCAACAATTTATACAAGTTTGGAAAAGTGTTAGATGATACAATTTCAGCCATATCTGCAGGTGTCAACATTTTATTATCGGTAGATAAGAATATTATTATTAATTATGTAGGATTGTAGGAATTCCAAAATAAACTATAGCAATATTATTTTATATTTGTACAATATACTTTTGAATAACTCTCTGCATCATATACTACTAATATTATTTAGTATGTGTCTAACTATCCCATACTTAAATTATCATTAAATTTTAAATAATMAAAAAAAAATTGTGGGGTGGGTGGAGGGGGGCTATAATACATTTCGGGGGGCTACCCCCCACCTAAGCCCCCTCACCCCTAGTTACGCCAATGCCGGTGGGCCCCTTCGTATTTCGGTAATGGGGCCCTTTAATATCATATATTATTAAATTCTTTTTCATGTGGGGCCCCTTTTTAAAATTTTCTGGTAGGCCAAAAATGGCCTATCCGCCCATGGCACACATAAACTCTAAATATTTTGTGTACACCCCACACACGGCGGCAAGGCAATAACGTTAGTTATATACTTGGACACTCGGTTCTAATTTTATTTTATATATATAAATTATAGTTTATTGACTATTGTGCTATACATATTATATAATAACATATTGAATACTAAATATAAAAATTTTAAATTTAATTTTAATTTTTTTTGAAAAATGTTGATTGTAAAAACATTTATTTAGTCATATTGTCATAATGTCATTCATTCTTAATCATTTTTTTAAAAGAACATATGTTCAAATTTTTTTAAGAATTATTAATTTTAAAATAATAACTTTTTAAAGAAATATTTGAATTTTATTTCAAGATTTTAATTAATGTTTTACAATCAACAATTTTTAAAGRTTTACAAATTGGTCATTTTTATTTTCATAATTTAAAAATATATCATAAAAATAAACATTTTACACGTGTAGCACAAGTTAGTAAACACTAAATAAAAAAATATTAATTAGAACAAAAGTTGTTTAATTTTTTAGGTATTCCTAGCTGTTATACATGCGTGTGTAAGGTATAACAGACACAATATTAAAACTCGTATAAAGTAATAAAAGCCACTAATGGCGGTGTATATAATATGGGAGAGGGGCACTTTGTAATATACGCCGWTCATCCCGACTAGTCGAGACGTGTACAAATAATTATGTATTTCAGGCACACAATAGATATATAAGCACTTTTTTGACTTCACCGTCCTATATACATAATACAGTGAACATATCAAGATATCAAGCGATCACCGGTGAAAAACACCACTTTCCAAAATGGCTATAGTTCCCTAATAGCAGCTATAAACCCAGTTTCCTATGTCGAAATACATAATTTTTAATAGGTAGCTTACTAATATTTACCGATTAAGGATTTGGTATTTTGGATATTTAAGCTAGTTTTTTTCTTATTTTAGTTTTACACACCTATTACCCACAAATCTAATGCATACCAAGTACAATAATGTGTTCCCAATTAAAGTTCACGCATGAAAAAGCGTATAGATTACAGCAATATTACAATACTATATTGTTATATGATGTATACATTTCAATTATTAAGAGTCAATACCTTCAGATTGTAAAATCGTAAGAATAGCGTACACGGTACTACTATATATATATAGCAGTGTTACGACAATTATTATACGCACAGTAAGAGCGTATTTATATTCATACGTATTATATAAATATAATATCGCTATATTTTGTATTCAATAATAGAATGTTGTTTGTCACGTGCTATTTTCAGGGGAGGAGACGGTATGGCCGGGGGTTGAGTGGGCGTCAGTGAGGGGTTCGATGGATTGGTGCGCAGGTGGCGAAGATCTGCTGGGCGACCCAACGCTGCTGGTGGCTGCGGGAATGCTACACGGGCCGACGCAATTCTGCACAGACACTTGCTGTACGCCCGGACTGGAGCAGCCCAACGAACAAGCAGTTCAGTTCCAGCAGCCAGCGATCGTTACAGTAGGCAGTTCGTACAGGTAATAGACATTTTTTATTTTTTCATTAAATTAACGATATGAAAATTGTTTCCTCCTATTCGTAGAATACCTAGCTTAAATTAATAAAATTAGTTTTATTCGAAGTGGTAGAATTAATTGAAATATTCTTCGGTTACTTTTTGGTCGAAAAACCGAACGTTTTGATGTTGCAGGGTGACTGGGTGACTATAAGTTGCGTCCCACAATGTACCCATTTGATGTAAATTGCGTCCCGGGTATTATTTTTTTTCATAATACGTAAATTTCGTTCTTTAATTTCTATATTAAAATATAAGTATGACAATATTTTCCTTCTCATTTTATCAGACTTAGGACTGTTATTATAACTTATAATTTTGGTATTGTTAAAAATATTGGTTTAAAAAAAAAATTATTCATATTAATTGATTCATATCGATGTAGGTAAAAAATTGAAAGACAGTAAATTCAGTCTGAGAACTTACGAATATTTGAATAAAATATACTGCTATATGATTTACTATAGACATCCGGGATGGATCCAAATACCACCCTAAGTCACAATCCTTATCGTTTAGGAGAAAATTTCCGTTAAATATTAATTGCCGTTTAGACTTTGCAATTCAGTCAACTATATTTTGACTATCCTAGAAAAAAATAGTCAATAATAATTACTAAACCATGTACTAATAATACTTAAAATTAAGTTTATAAGGAACATTCTAATATTAGTGTTTTGTGTACTCCAAGGCCACTCCCTTTTCACTCTGATATTGTACGATATTATTTAAATAATATTATCAGTTTATTTTACAATGCATTATATAAATGTATTAATATATATATTATTTAACATTTTATATACAATTATACTCTTAGGCGTGAGTACGGGGTTGGTAGAGGTGCACTTTAAATCTGCAAAACGTTCTGTATTATTTAAATGATTAGTTTATCTACTAGGTAGTATTATTATCGTAGTTAGTATTATTTCTAAGTAAAATTCATAACAAAATAAATAGATAGGTAACCCGTATAGATAGGAGTTGACTGTATACCTCGTCATTGAGTAGATCACTTTTACAGATTCATTATGAAGCGTTAAAGTCGAATTATATGATATATCATTGTGTGCAATGAAAAACAATCCGAATGAAGACGTTCTAACTTTTGCTAACCAAATTATTTTAATAACTATATTAAAATATTAATAGGTACATTTTTGTATTTAATTTTTGATAATTCCTGATTTTTTCGATTATTTTGCTTTTGACCCTCCTTATAGTACGTAAAAATAGATCCAAATTTCTACTATAAACCGTCTTCGATATTGATAATTGGAGCATTTTTTTCTAGAAGAAGTGTRAAGACGCAAAAAGTAAATAAAACACATATAATTGTAAAATGAATGCATTAATAAATCTTTAGTCACTACAACCATAATCTAAAATTTTAAACRTGTACCTATTTTTTTTTTAAATACATTTTTAACCAAAACAAAGAGTTGGTGATATTCCTAAAAAAATCATTCTTGATACACAACAAAAAATTTTGCGCACACCTAAAAAAGATACTATAAGGACGATACTAAATTTTAATTATTTACTCGTAATTATGAAATATAATAACTAACTARCATATAGGTACAGTAAAATATTTATGTTTTTAATGCCCTATATGCATAATAGATAGTATGTACACACTATAATAAATTAATAACGTCTTAACGTTACAGTTTATATTAAGGGTGGCCATAAGAGAGTTGCGAACTGTAGTTTATAATGAAGAACAATGTTAAAATGTACTATGCTAAAAATGTTAAGAGGATGCGGCACCTGCATGTATATTGTCTACAGGCCTTACAAATGTACAAAGTACAACATAGCAAATTTTACGTTAACAATAATGCATATTACTCTGACATGCAATAAAATTAGAGGCAAGATATCTCGGAGATGTTTGTTGATATTTTTATTAAGTTATGACCTTTTTGAAAGTGTATAATTTTTGTATATTTTAAAATGATTATATTATAACTTTATAACTTACTTAAAAATAATAATATCAATAAAATACGTTGAGATGCCTTATATATAATATAATGTTACGTTTAAATATTATATGGGTTAATTCACTCTAACCTTAAAAATAGAAAAGTAAAATTGATTATTTTGAGGGTAAATTTTGCTGTTGTACGTTTCTAAGACTGAAATAACACACTATCTTAAGATGCAAATCGTGGTTTGACCTATACGATATAGATTATTAGATTATAATTTATAACTAAGAGTTCATATATTTAAAATCATAATTTATAGTTATCGTTGTTTATAAAGAAAATTTAGTTAAATAAATTATAAGTATTATTTAAATGTCATTCATACATTATACTTAAATTAACTTAATACAATAATACCAAAAATAACTCTAACTGACTACGTAATTATTACTCAGATTATTGCATGAAATTCGAAAAGAAAAATACCAATAATCAAGACCAACTATAATCAAATCTGATTGCAAAAGTGAAATAGATAGGTACTTACACTCTAATTATTTAAAAAAAGAAAAAAGTTGTTCTGATACGACAACAGTAAATTTCAAGAGTGCACTCGATTGATACATGATTGAGTAAATCACTGTAATGGATGTTTTAATTTTGAATTGAATGAGCATAATTAATTTAGTAATTTAATAAGTAAGCTAATGCAATAAACGAAAATTGATTAGGTATGTACAGTGAAACCTCTAAATACCGGACACTCTCGGTCGTTTAAATTGTGTCCGCTATTAAGATGGAAGATACAGTGAGTACACATTTCGCCGTTCCCAAAATTCCATCTGTTATTTGGGGATGACCGTAAAAGGAGGTTTCACTGTATACATTTATTTTTYATCAAATCGATGGCCCTCGTTTTTGAATGTACCTACAGTATATTCCATAATATTGCTATAGCCTATATATAATATATCATTAAGGTTAATATTATTATTATTAACCGCTAATGACCAACTATTACGTTTACTATCTTATCGCAATTCACATCTATAACTGTAATTTAAGTTTATCTTGTCAAAATATCCAAAATTATTATGTATAGGAATATCTTATTGAAAAATTAAAAAAAAAAACAAACTTAAAGGTAGTTGTAGATACCATAATTATGTATATTGTACATTATTATATTATATACAGACATACAGTCAATATATACTTTAAGAACTTAGGGTTTTTCAGTGGCTTCTGGACAATAGATAGCATCAAATCGAGGAGCGATATACAGCCACTGTTCGCTGCAGTAGCGAAATTGTATTGTGTAATAGAACATGGAATGTAAGATATCATTTATAACGATATAGTTTAACGTYGGGTATTTAATAGATGCCAGCTGACAAATCATTGACTGATAAACAAGATTTGACTTTATCGTTACTTTTTTGTCGTCGATTTTTATTCATAAATTGAAATGTTTATTACACAGCTAGACACACAGCGTGATGTAAACCTAAATACTATAATAAAACGTTGACCCAAATATTTAACATATTTTTTTGGTAGCATCTAGTGTGGAATTTACCATCTAACAATTTATTCAAAATTTAAAAATATATTGTACTATTCCGTATATTTTGACAAATGTAGTTACCTACCATTTCTTGTTATTTTAATAATAATTATAAGTTTTAATCAAAGTTTTTCCGAAGTATCAGAATGTTTATAGCCAATAGGTATTTTTATTCATAAATGCATTTAAAATTCATTATCAATGAAATTAGCATGCTTTTGAAAATAAACGATTATTTAAACGATTTGGATTGGAGCTTACCAAAAAGTTATTCTCAGACAAGCAGATATGCTGATAATTAAAGAGGTAGGTATAGAAATCAATAAACCATGCGTGATTAAGCCACATTTGGCACTTAATAGTTTGATCATCACATATTCTTTTAGCTAGTAACACAACATTTTATGAATAATTTTTTTTCAAATGTATGATAGTACATTATTAATTATATTTTTGAGTAACGAAAAAATTAAGAATTGTATATATTACCTACTTACATTA